AGTGCGCTGTAAAAAAGTGACTCAAGGGTTTTGAGGGTCCAAGTTTGAGGTGACATTTCTCATAAACTACCACGAAATATCATTAAACATTAACATGGCTGAAGAGTGTTGACTAAGAAATTGTGATTTTGGGGTGAAAATTTCTTTTGGCTCTGAACCTTACTTCCGGGTATCCTTGCGCGCCAAGTGTAATCCGCCCGTTTGACCTAGATTTCACTCTGCGTCTTCCTAAGAGTGGATTTGCAACCCCTCGCACCGTGGATGGTTTAGAAAATTTCAGTACTAGAATTTTCTTTATAATTTACTCGAGTATAGTCAAGATTTGGGTCTTTCTGCCAGCATCAGTAATTTCTGCCGGAAAATTTTTTTCTATGGGATTATCCTACGCGAAAATTTTGCAATTTTGTGCATTAATTTTGTGAAGTATTTAATTTTGTGAAAATAATGTTTTTTTTTTCGTTGATTTACCAAACTTAAAAAGGCTAAAGAAACCAAACTCAGTTGGTCTTGTAGCTGAAGAGATATCCTTTCATCTCATACACAGTTTATTCCAAATTATTCCACGGCAGAGACGGTCCATAGATTTGAGGGTGTGCAGCTCCGAATAGAAATGCCAAATAAACTGGGGTGTGCCTCCTTAACAATGAATTAAAAATACTGTGAGCTACCATGAAAGTGCCAATAATATTTGACTGTGGATGACATTGCATCTCTCTCCTGTCCACCAGTTAACATGAACAGCTAAAAATCACAATCATCATGAAAATGTCTCTTTATTCCAGCTGACTTTCCATTTTTGAGTGCTACACAACATTTATCCCTAAACATTGTTGCTTTCCTGATTTTTTAGATTAATATGTTTTCTTTGTATATGAAGTACAACTTTTATTTCAGAAATGGTTTATGAAAAGGAAGGAATTCGATGTGGATCACGATGAAGAGGATATCAGGGAAAATAGTTTGATCACAAATGCTTCTGAAAACATATCCCATTGCTATACAGAATGAAACAACAGACAATATTGCAAGTGCTCTCCTCAATGGGAAAATGTACTGTGTTCTCCGGCATATCGACAAAATGTTAGTCACAACCTTAAACTAGATATTAGTATAAGAAATGTGAACTCTTTCAGAAATGACAACAAATATAGAAGGGAGGGCCAGTTTCAACAATACAGGTGTTTTCAACTAGAAATTCAGAGGATCACAAACATGCTCTTTCCCAACATCTTTCATTGTCATTTCTAAGGGTCTGCATGGGGTGTCCTGATCACGCTTTGCGCTAAATTCTGGAAGGCAGCGACCACGATTACTCTTCATTCGTGCAAGCTGTTTGCTTAAAACACGTAGATTACATTTGATGTTAAATCCGAGTTTTTCGACCACCAATTATGCAAATTCAAATGGCAAGGCACAAAATTATGCAAAGCAGCAACCCCATATTGGGTGTCACTTGTACAGGCTCGATTTTTTTAATGCAGATTATTTACGTTTAAATGGTAAAAAGAACGACCTGGCTTCACATTATGCAAATCTAAAACAAGCGATTACGCATTGCGGCATGCAGACCCCATTTTGAAAAAGTTCTAATATAAAAGAGAACTCACGGTCAAGTCCGATGTTCTCTTGTCTCGTAGCTGGTGACAGGTCCCTCAGAAACACAGGTACATCCTCCTGGAATAGACAGGAACACAGATCCTCCTGGAATGTGATCCGGTGCACAGGTCCAACAGGAACACAGACAGGTCCTCCAGGACAGGCACACTGGATAGCTGACAGGTCCCACAGCACACACAGGAGCATGGACAGGTCCCACATGGTCAGGTATACAGTATCAGTCTCCCAAACCTAGAATGTAAAAGAAATACACATTCAGAAAAATCACAGGCCAAATGTGTACATGTACATCAACAATATTCACAGAGCATGCACTTCCTAACATAGGATCTCCAGGAATGTGGACAGGAACACAGGATAGCTGACAGGTCCCACAGCACACACAGGAGCATGGACAGGTCCCACATGGTCAGGTATACAGTATCAGCTTCCCAAACCTAGGGTGTAAAAGAAATACACATTCAGAAAAATCACAGGCCAAATTTACACGCATCAACAATATTCACAGAGCATGCACTTACTAATATAGGATCTCCAGGAATGTGGACAGGAACACAGGATAGCTGACAGGTCCCACAGCACACACAGGAGCATGGACAGGTCCCACATGGTCAGGTATACAGTATCAGCTTCCCAAACCTAGGGTGGAATAGAAATACACATTCAGAAAAATCACAGGCCAAATTTACATGCATCAATAATATTCATAGAGCATGCACTTCCTAACATAGGATCTCCAGGAATGTGGACAGGAACACAGGATAGCTGACAGGTCCCACAGCACACACAGGAGCATGGACAGGTCCCAGATGGTCAGGTATACAGTATCAGCTTCCCAAACCTAGGGTGGAATAGAAATACACATTCAGAAAAATCACAGGCCAAAGTTACATGCATCAACAATATTCATAATTCATGCAAACATGCAATAACAATATTCATGCACTTACTAATATAGGATCTCCAGGAATGTGGACAGGTACACAGGATAGCTGACAGGTCCCACAGCACACACAGGAACATGGACAGGTCCCACATGGTCAGGTATACAGTATCAGCTTCCCAAACCTAGGGTGGAAAAGAAATACAAAGTTACATACACAAAGTTCACAGGACATGGATGCCATAGATAAACAAGATACATACACTGTTACAGTAATATTCACATGAGAATATCATGACCAAACAATCACATTAAAAATCACCTCACATTATCATTGTCATCAAAACAATTCAGATGACAAGTTAAAATAAATGTTGACAGAATATTGCCAGCTATAGAAACATCATACTATCATAGCCAGCAAACTATATATGAATCAGGCATGAAAAAAAAAAACTTAGTTTGAACCAGTAAGAAAACAATGTGGTTTGACAAGAATCTGAATTTTTTTAAATGCAAAAAGCAAAATACATGACAAAATACTTGAAAAGGACTCTAAATTTTTCTGAAACTTAAATATTATGCATGTCCTGAATTGAATGCTAGTAGTCCTAAAATATCTAGGTGAACCCACCGTCAGAAAATGTACAGCTCAAATTTGTGTGCGAAAATTGGGTATCATATAAACTATTATTCGGTAAAACTTTTCCAAAATACTGTTACTTTTGTTGCGTGAAATGTTACTAAGGAATTTAAAGGTCCTTGATATAACTCAAACTGGACGGGGTTAAACGAAACTCTGCGTGTTGTCTTTCTTTGGACTAAATTATTTCTGATTATGCAAATGTTTCTAGCCCATGTGCTCCCTTGTGTGTGCCACGCCACAATGCTTAGAAAACTCGGGCATATTTCTGTGTTGTTACGGCGTCTTTCCACACAAGACTTACCAAAAGTGGTCACAAGGATACAGAGAACAAAGTTACGTACTACTCACCTCCTAAAACAGACGTTTCTCGTCTTCCTGAGGCGAAGTTTCAGCAGAAATTTCTCCCGCTCCATGTTCAGCCGCCATCTTGGAACTTGTGAGCTCCCATGGCCTCATGGGTAGTTCCCACCTGTTGGTCCTCAGCCGATAATTTGAATAAAGATAATGAAATCATTTCGCGGCGGAAGCGCACATTTTGTTTGTTTTTTCTTAAAAAAGAAAACGTTAAAACGGAAACTGGGACATGTAAGCGGGGAGAATATTGATGACAAAACTCCCATGGAAGAAGAATACAACGTGTAACTTTATGAGAAAATAGCGTAGACAAACACAGGGGCAAGCATGCTGTCCTTGGTGCTGAACGCCATCCACACACAAACATACCTGTCCTTGGTGCTGAACGCCATCCACACACACACAAACATACCTGTCCTTGGTGCTGAACGCCATCCACACACAGGCAAACATATCTGTCCTTGGTGCTGTCCTTGGTGCTTTCGAAAACATTCGGCTTCAGCCGAGGCTACAATGTAAGCGAGTGGTATTTTTGTTTGCAGTTTTATGTTCATCTCGTGATAACCAACTTGTCTAGACATCATAAAATATTAATTATTGTTTTTCTTGCTCTTCGGTCGGAATTTTATATTCCTTGCCACCCAAATTCTCTTTTTACTTACCACCTTCGTCACTCAAAACATTTTGTAAGCTCAACAATCCTTGTGAATATTTTACTTTCATTACAGTCCATTCACATTGATAGATCAGTGCTTTGAATCGCTTCCAAATACAGAAATACGTTGGGGTGACTGAACGTTTTGGTTGGTGGTTTTGACGGCGTTTCTCTCGCATTCCTCTGGGTTAGTGCCCACCTGTCCGTAGGTATACTACACCTTGCCCTTTCGTCAGAAAAACAAGCCGTGCACGCACACACCATCTACATCTATGGGTTAGGCAACAGCAAGTAATTTTTATGGATGACATCAGCGCGCGCATTAATTTTCGCCTGATTTTGAAAAAAAAAAAAGAATTTTGTTGCCTTCTGATAGTGGTAACATGCCAAAAATGGGCAAAGATGTCTGCTGCCATACCGGAACGTAGATGGCAGATAAATATGAAGAGAGGAGACAAGAAAAGGCTCTGATTCAATGTTTTATTTCTTACTTTGATGCAGTGATATGTGATGCTGGCTGTGTATATGTGATGATCCCACCGAATAAAAACCATTTGTACAATGATTGAGTCAAAATTCTAAAATGTAGGAACCTTGTTATTTCGGCCTGCCTTGTTTTGTTTTCGCCCGCTCGCATTAGATTTGGAGTCTGCGGGGGATGTCATCCATAAAATTTACTTGCTGTGGCCTTACTGAACACTGCCCTCACGGGCCTCACGTTCAGTTGCACGACATATGCGGCCAATACCCATACCCCAGTACGACTTGATTATCTTGGCACTGCACGTCAGGGAAGGCCGAGCACACCGGGAATGTCAGCTATATTACCCCACGTAAGGCCGACCATGGCGACCGGCTTGCTCCTTTTCACATGCCTGCTGTCCATCGGCCATGCCTCCCCAGAATTCGACACAGAATTCGAAGAAGAGTGTCGCTTGCCCAACTACTTCAAGTGCGAAAGTGGAGAATGTGTCCATCCACAGTTCCAATGTGACGGTAAGGTTGATTGTGTAGACGGCTCCGATGAGGAAAACTGCATGAATAGGGAGTGTGACAACCCCGACGATTTCAAGTGTGCAAGTGGAAAATGTATCCCCCCATCCTGGCAATGCAACGGTGAGGAAGATTGTGAAGATGGTTCAGATGAAGACTGCATCAACAAAGAGTGTTACTACCCCGAGTATTTCAAGTGTGAAAGTGGAGTATGTGTCCCCCCACAGTTACAATGTAACGGTGCGGACAACTGTGGAGACGGTTCAGACGAGGAAAATTGCACAAACAGAGAGTGTGACAATTTCAAATGTAACAGTGGAGAATGTGTTCCACTATTCCGGCATTGCAACGATGAGGAAGATTGTGAAGATGGTTCAGATGAAGAACATTGCACAGCGTGCCCCCTGCCCGACCATATCCAGTGTAGAAGTGGAGAATGTGTTCCACAATTGTGGCAATGTGATGGTGATGATGATTGTGAAGACGATTCAGATGAGGAAGATTGCATAAACACTGAGTGTTACTTCCACGACGATATCAAGTGTGACAATGGAAAATGTGTTCCACTATACCGACAATGTGATGGTGATTATGATTGTGAAGATGGTACAGACGAGGAAGACTGCATAAACAAAGAGTGTTACTATCCCGACTATGTCAAGTGTGGAAGTGGAGAATGTGTCCCTCCACAGTTACAATGTAACGGTGCGGACAATTGTGAAGATGGTACAGACGAAGAAAATTGCACAAACAAAGAGTGTTACTACCCCGAATATTTCAAGTGTGACAGTGGCGTATGCGTTCCCCCATTGTGGCAATGTGATGGTAATCATAATTGTGAAGACGGTTCAGATGAGAGAGATTGTATAAACACAGAGTGTTACTTCCACGACGATATCAAGTGTGACAGTGGAGTATGTGTTCCACCATACTGGGAATGTGATGGTGATTATGATTGTGAAGATGGTACAGACGAGGAAGACTGCATAAACAAAGAGTGTTACTACCCATTTTATTTCAAGTGTGGAAGTGGAGAATGTCTCCCTCCAGAAAGGCAATGTGACGGTTTTGAGAGTTGTGAAGATGGTTCAGATGAGGAAGACTGCATAAACAAAGAGTGCTACTACTCCGACTATTTCAAGTGTGAAAGTGGAGAATGTTTCCCTCCAGACAGTCAATGTAGCGGTCAGGAAGACTGCCAAGACGGTTCAGACGAAAACAATTGCACAGTGTGTCCCTTGCCTAACTATTTCAAGTGTGAAAGTGGATCATTCTGTGTCCCTTTAAACTTGCAATGCGACGGTACGGAAGTGTGTAGAGACGGTTCAGATGAGAAAAACTGTCAAAACAGAGGGTGTGACAGCCCCGACGTTTTCAGATGTGACAGTGGGCGATGTGTCTCCAGAACCTTGCAATGTGACGATAGGAACGATTGTGAAGACGGCTCTGATGAGGACAATTGCGACCGCTGGAGTATTCTTTGTGATCCTCCCAACGTCAGGTGCCAACGGAATGGAGCATGTATCGACCAAATGTCAGATCAGCTGTGCAACGGTTTTGATAACTGTCCAGACGGTGAAGATGAGCAAAATTGTCTAGAGTGTACCATGACGAGTGGTATCCGCCCAGAGTGGCATTGTGATGGTGTCCCTGATTGCCGCAATGGCTTAGATGAAGAAGGTTGCACAGCCAATGATTGTCCCTCGCCCAAGTTTTTCTGTGGACACCGTGATCACTGCATCGCTGGCACAAAGCGCTGCGATGGCGTCGGTGACTGTTACGACAGGTCCGATGAGAGTGGCTGTGGTAAGCTCACCTTCAGTTTACTTATTCTTTTAATAATAATAATAATAATAATAATAATAATAATAATAATAATAATAATAATAATAATAATAATAATAATAATAATAATAATAATAATAATAATAATAATAATTATAATAATAATTATAATAATAATTATAACCTTTATTGTACATCCATGCCCTATCGGGCTAAGTACAGGTCAACAGATGAAATAGGTAATATACATGTTTGTATTACAAACAGCTCTAAAACTACTCTAATACAGAGGTTCGGCTTCTTCTCGTTTCTTTGTGATGTTAAAAATATAATTCGAGATGGGTTTGTATAGTACAGAATGATCAAAGCGCATAAAAAGATAAATTTTTCAAGTATTGGAAGTATGGAAATACTAGTAATATATCTAAAAAGGTCATTTCTTTCATTACTATATAATCTACAATAATAACAAAGTGGGCTCCATCTTCTACTTTGTTTGAGCTACAAAATTGGCAAATCCTTTGTTCCAGAGGTTTCACTAATTTGTGGAAGTTTTAACATTATAACAAGTGGCTACTACTATACTGTCAGTCAGTTTCAAAAGACTATGACTTTACTTCGCAAACAAACAGGATGGCTCAGTTCCTAATGTCTGGTCCATCTGAGTTCCAAGCGGGTTATTATTAGCCTCTACCAGGCACCGCGGATCTCTGGAAAAATAGCAGAATTGTCCGAAATAAAGGTAATAGTATACCAGGGGAGTTAGCCGGCCAGAGAGGGTACGTACATTTTGCGACGTACAAATGTACCCTCTCTGACGTGCTAACTCCACTGGTTTACTATTCCCTTTATTTTAGCCAATTTTGACCCATCAACTACCATGATAGGGGTAAAATTGTAGCCTCCGTTCGAGGCTTCTTGGTGACGTTTCAGTATTGCCAGTTTTACTGATGAACAATTTTCTATAACGTTCCCTGGCGGCTTTAGCCGAGGCTAGGTGAGTGTTTCCTGTGGAATTTTTGTCCGCAGTTTTATGCGTGTCTGGTGAAAAACCACCTGGTCGATCTAGACATCATGTATGATCATGAAACATTTACTGTTGTTTTTCTTGCTCGTCTGTCGGAATTTTATGTCCCTTGCCACCCAAATTCTTTTTACTTACCACTTTCGTCACTCAAAACATTTTGTAAGCTCAACAATCCTTGTGAATATTTTACTTTCATTACAGTCCATTCACATATATAGATCAGTCCTTTGAATCGCTTCCAAATACAGAATACGTTGGGGTGACAGAAAATCTCCTTTTACTTGCCACTTTTGCCACTCTTCTCTTTATTTTGGCCAATTTCTACTATTCTTCCAGCGATCCGTGGTCCCTGATGGAGGCTAAATTATCCGTACCTTTTCAAAATGTCAACCCGGAAACTGTAGGGTATGGCGTCGGGTGGTGTAGTGGTTAGAGCAATCGACTATGAACCGGGGAGACCCGGGTTCGATTCTGAGTCGTACCCGGGACATGTCTGAACATGCGCCCCGACGTCGTGCCCTTGGGAAAGGCACTTCACACGACTTTCCTCACTCCACCCAGGTGTGAATGGGTTGGGGAAAGTCGTATTGAGGTCATCTTGTGGCGCTGAATGGCAGCCGCACAGACCCTTGCGACAGTTCCACGAAAAAAAAAAATTGTGGAACAAATATGTGTATCATGTGTATTATTTGATTGTGATTTGAATTGATTGCATCAATTCAGCCGTATAAAGGTTGCGACTGCACAGGTACTGTTTGGACAATAAAAACCATTTATAAAAAAAATTTAAAAAAATGGACCACACCACAACCTGGAAGGACCCCACAACTTTGACTCAAACCTTCATTGTAGACACCAAGCGATTCATACCCGATTAAACATTTGAACTGTCTGCGAAAATCACTCAATATTTATATTGATACATTATTACCTGTCATTCCAAACATTTGCTGTTTTGTTAGTTGTAATTTTGTTTCGTTATTTGTTATTTATTAGCGTGACTAAAATTAGCGATCTGCTAGAGTTGTCCACCCTGTGATTTGTTCTGTATATTGTCAAGAAGGTTAAATATTGTTGAATAGATAAGAAAAAGGATCCCACAGGCCTGCTAATATATGTATAAAATTCTTGTAGTGTTTTGAATATTTAATAATGCCTGGTATCAAATATGTAGCCGTTTACGCACAAACTCTTTGGTGTGAAACTATATGTGGGGTCGTGTGGCGTAGTGCTCGACTCGAAACCAAGAGGTCCCGGGTTCGAGTCCTGACATACCACCGATCTTGTGCCCTTGGGAAAGGCACGTTGGAAAGCCCCTGGGAAAGACACTTTACACGACTTTCCTCACTTCGCACAGGTGAAAATGAGTATTGTATTGTCCCCTGTGTTGGTGGCCGCATCAATATAAGTTGAAAAAACTTGAGTGTGCCGTCACCACGTCTTGTGATTACAAGTTGGAATATAAGAAAAATCTATATGAGGACGAATATCACTTTTTGATTGTGTGTCCTATATGTATTGATGTACGCAATGCACTATACATTAGATTATCAGATTCTTTCCCAGCATTCACCACAATGAACGTGGAAAGAAAATTTAAATACATATTGACTTGTGACAACCCCTACATGCTACACTTAGGGATATATATTTAAGACTGTATGGATATTAGAAACTCCTTCAACGATTGTATAAGTTGAGACCTATCTCATACTAGCCACCCACTTTTGTATTAGGTTAGCCTTATGAAAATGTAGTTGGCATGTACTTGCTTAAGTTAGTAGATGCCATATTGTTGCGCAATAAAGTTATTTATGTTGTACAGTGTGTACCACTGTGGAGTTCCGATGTGCAAACAGCAGCAGATGTGTAGCACCATCTGCAGTGTGCGATGGCGTCATCGACTGTGATGATGCATCGGACGAGTTGCTGTGCCGTAAGTCTTATGCAAGGATGTATAGAATAAAATACAGGGGATTCCACTTATTTGTATTTCTTATAATTGTATATTTCGGGTAATTGTATAGAATTCTAAAACACCAAACCATTTACCATTCACACCATTGTAAAAACAATGCATAATTGTATAGCGCATTATTGTATATTCCGGCGTATCGTATAGAATTTGGCCCGACTAGATCGTATAATGACCCAGAGCTACACATTAAATGTTAGCAAAGATGGCATAAATAGACAATTAAGTGCCTGTATAAAGACACTGGACCACCAAAAAAATCGAAAATGAGTGTTTAGGGCCACAAAGACATGTACCACAATGGCTTCGATGACCTAACGCAGCCATGAAAAAAAGTCAAAATATGTAAAGAGTCCTCAAAATGAACAGCTTTAGGTTGCTTGAAAATTTTACAACCTGTAATATATAATGTTCTTGTCTGGAATGGCAAATGTAGTTATGAATATCTCCTTGAGCGGAGCTACATAGGAAAAAGTTATTCATCCAGAATATGCAAATATGTCATGATTGATTCGTCAATAGATCGTAATTATAGATGAGTATTAAACAGACTCTTTTTACACAACCAAGTCGGTGTCGGCGACAAGTTCAGCCGACGTTTTGGTGACCGTCTGTCACCTTCCTCAGGGCAATTCTGACTGGTTCACATTGCACTGCGGCACAGGTGTCGCTGCTATAGATGCATTCCCAAACGTTTCTAATTATGGATGATTTGACAAATATACAAAATATTCTCTTTTGTTCATGTATAAATTATTGAATCGGTGTCGTATAAGCCCACACGGGCTGGGCGTGGGATAGCGCACGACACGGAAATAAAGTCTCATTCATTCATTCATTCATCCATTCATTCATTCATTCATTCATTCATTCATTCATTCATTCATTCATTCATTCATTCATTCATTCATTCATTCATTCATTCATTCATTCATTCATTCATTTATACACGAATGTTTCCTCCAGAGTCTTGTGCAGAGAGGGGACTGTGGCAGTGTGAGAGCGGTGAATGCATCCAGAACGCCTGGGTGTGTGACGGTGACAAGGACTGCTCTTCTGGAACAGACGAGAAGAACTGCCACAGTAAGACCCCGTTCACATTCAAATAATGAATCCGGATTGAGCGTCGATCCGGATCAATTTTTTTTTTTTTTGCAGTGTGAATGTTCCAATCCGGATTGATGTTCTCCGATCCGAATAAAAAAGTAATCCACCTCGAGGAGGTAGTTCAAGATGTTTGCGACGGATCCGGATAGGACGTAACTGCGATTTTGAACGCAAAGTGTCTTGGCTTCCGATTTGGCTTCGCGGGTGTGACACGATGTACCACAAATAACACAACCGATCGGATCAAATATGCAGTGTACATTAGACAAGGATATTTATAAAACTAAGTCATACATCTACCAATATATCTATTTCTCTCCCTCTCATACAAACACACACACACACACACACACACACACACACACACGCACCCACACACACACACACACACACACACACACACACACACTTTAATTATGTTTACCGAAGGAAAACATATTGTTTTTACTCAATTTCCTCTTCTCCAAACACTAACCTCTGACCTGACCAATGACATGATTTGTTGACATCTGTCACCATGGTGACTGGTGTTGGGTTACATAATGTTGCAAACTTCATGGTCTGCTCTGCTCCTGTCACCATATACTAGTAGTACATGTATGTGAATGTGTTTGAGTAAGAATTAACAGGGCAGACCATGTCCGAAGGTAAACATTATGCATTTGCTTTGCAAATATTACTTCTCTAGTTGTTCATTTGCGTTTCAATGATGTTGTTGCTGTTGTTACTGCACTGACTCCCACACACACTCCGTTACTTACAGCTCCCTGCCACGGTCTCCAGTTGGAGTGTGACGGGGGATGTCTGCCGAGGTACCGCGCCTGTGACAGGGTGACGGACTGTTCCAACGGGGAGGACGAGATCAACTGTACAGACAGAGGTAGGGGTCAGTTAACGTGTCTTTAGGCCACAACAAGTCAATTTTATGGATGACGTCCGCGCGCGCATTGATTTTGGCCTGTTCCTAGAAAAAAAAAAGAAATTCGGCTTCCTGTAACTATGACCAAAGAGTCACGACAGTGCCACAAATCGTTAGATTGACGTGAACCTTGTAACACGAAATGGGTAAAGAGCACATGCTTTGTTTCTGCAGGCCTGCAAAAATGTGATGAAAGAAACAGGACAGGACGGCAACTGCTGTTCCACCTGATTTATTGCTTTTTTGATGATGAATAAACGACTTCTTGCTTGTTACACTGTGTCACCTCATTCAATTTGTGTCCTAACATTTGTCGTCTCTTAGTATATTTCTAAATCTAGGCATCTTGTTTTTCAGGGCCTTTCTTGTTTTTTTTCGCCCTCTCGCATTAGATTTAGGGTCTCCAAAGGACGTCATCCATAAAATTTACTTGGTGTGGCCTTATCATAGATAGAAAACTATGATGAACGTTGCAATCAAACTAAATTTGTATGCATGAATCACAGACATACAATTTTGATAAAACGTACACTCACACAGGTTGTGGTGCCCAGCAGTTCTACTGTGCAGACGGGACGTGCCTGTTGGAGTCTCAGCTGTGTGACAACCTGACGGACTGCAGTGGAGGGGAGGATGAGGAAGACTGTGGAGGTAGATAAAGATAGGTCAGCTCTAACTATACCAACCTGAAGTTAGCCTTCGATTCAGCACTCGATTCGCAGCCTTCGATTGGGCCCTCAATTCAACTTGATGCACACTTTTTCGTATAAGGTTGCAGCCAGCCGTCTACAAAAAAGTGCGCACCTAGTTGAATCGAAGCTCAATCGAAGGCTGCGAATCGACGGCTGAATCGAAGGCTAACTTCAGGTTGGTCTAACTATGCACGAGGCGCACCAGCTACTTTACTATAATAGTGAAAGACAGTGGGCTTCACTGATGTTAAGGAACAATAAATGGTTTATGGGTCAAACATTACCCGTGCAATCGCAGCCTGAATTGATGCAGGGTATACAATCACATAATACACATGATACATATTTGCTCCACACGCATTTCCATTGGTACTGTCGCAAGGGTCTTTGCGGCTGTTATTCGGCGCCACCAGGTGACCTCAATACGACTTTCCCCAACCGAAGTTAGGTACCCATTCACACCTAGGTGGAGTGAGAAAAGTCGTGTAAAGTGCCTTTCTCAAGGGCACAACGTCGGGGCGCATGTCCAGGCATGTCCCGGGTACAACTCGAGATCGAACCCGGGTCTCCCCGTTTCATAGTCGAACGCTCTACCACTATGCCAACCGACGCCACGTCTTGAAGTTCAATTTTCTGGGTACACTTTCTAGCTTTCAAATAAGTCTCCCTGTTGACCTTATTTTTTTCCTAACAGATGTTCCACCTCCTGGATTCCCACTTGGTTTGACCAGTCGGTACCTTCCCGATGTGTATGTCACCGCCAGCTCCGAGTACAAGTCAGAGTTCGCCCCATTCCAGGCTCGGCACACACCGACAACTGTACCAGGATACTGCTGGGTACCGAGTTCTGTGGTGGACCAATGGTTTCAGGTATCTCATGGTCATTACCTCCGGGGGAGGAGACATCCTTCCGCCGAAGGGTTTTGTGAGAGATTTAGATTTTCATGTTCGCAGCTGTTTCTCGCGTTTGGGTGGACGGATTCTTTTGAGACTCGGTATATGTTTTGCTATTGGGCTGCAGATGCTTTTGTTTTTATTGTATATGTGTCTCGGGCGTGAAAATGGTGCCTTTTGGTGGCCCCAAAACACCCCTTTGAGCGTGAAAGTGGTCGCGACCGTTGACCTTTGGCGTGTTTAAGCTATTCTCGGTCTGGTCCACGTATATGACCCCTCACGGGTGTCCGGTCTCGATAAATTCTTTGTAACACTGTATAAAAATATACAATAAAAAGCCCGGAGGTATCAACTCTAAGATTTTACTTGTTGAATCTAGATCCTAGATATGAAGACCATGTTCTTGTACGTGAATAGTTTCATCAGGTTGGTAAGTCACTGAGTAAAGAGACTCTTTTTGTACAGCCAAGTCTTTTTTCAGCCGACGTTTCGGTGACCGTCTGTCACCTTCCTCAGGGCAATTTTGACGTTCACATTGCACTGCAGCACAGGTGTCGCTGCTATAGATGCATTCCCAAACGTACAATATTTACATATCTACATATATGCGTGGTTACAGCATGGATGTAGAAAAAGACAGGAAACTGTCTACAATTTGGTCCCAAACGTACAGGAGTTGGATATATGCACAATTGTGGTCAGTTATTAAACAGAAGCAGTTACACAGAACTGCCTGAGGAAGGTGACAGACGGTCACCGAAACGTCGGCTGAATAAAAGACTTGGTTGTGTAAAAAAAGTCTCTTTACTCATGTTCTAGCATGTTGCAGACATGCAGTAGCAAGCTGAATGGAGCAAGTTTTGGGCGTCTGTATTTATTAAACATATTGTTCTTGCTCCGTTTCTTCCTCTTCTTCTTCTTATCCAAACAGTGACCTATGACCTGACCAATGACATGATTTGTTGACGTCTGTCACCATAGTGACTGGTGTTGGGTTACATAATATTGCAATTTTATGGTCTGCTCTGCTCCTGTCACCATATACTAGTAGTACATGTATGAGAATGTGTTTGAGTAAGAATTAACAGGGCAGACCATGTCCGAAGGTAAACATTATGCGTTTGCTTTGCAAATGTTACTTCTCTAGTTTATGTTTAAGTTTATGTTATGTACATGTTTGGCTTCAGGTTTACCTGGGCAAGACGACTGACGTCACAGGGGTGGTGATCAGTGGAGGTGGCTCGAACTGGGACCTGGGCAGCTGGGTGACGTCATTTACTCTGGCCTTCAGCATGGACGGCGCTTCGTGGGCACCTTACGTGGACAGCAGCGATGACGTTCAGGTACGAAGAATTTTTCTTGACCGGAAAGGGATTTTGGAAAATACATGTAGTTCTGTACCTTGTTACTAAGTACCTAATACCAGCCCAGAAGAGAATAAGAAATAGTCATGCCTTCACGTACCAGAGTTATCAACCAAGGATTGAGGTGTTCAAGAATTCATTCTTTCCTAGAACTATTGCAGAGTGGAACTCACTGTCACCAAGTACATTAGGGGCATTGTCATTCAAGACAGCTTTAAACAAAGTCTAGAGCTAGAAGTTCAAGGGTTAGGTGTAACAAGTCGATCGGTGTAATATAGCCAGCTGTCGCCGCGCCGCGTGCCTGCGAAGCTGGTGTGTTACGCCGAAAGGCGGTTATACCAGCTACACAGATACGTCTGATACAGGGGCTGTTCAATAAAGATGTGACATAACACATATTAGGATCTGTAGTTCCAATTGCACATTTATGATTATGCACATTTGTACAGGCAATATGTCCATTTTCATCCAGGAAAAGGAAAGAGACTATTTTTCCTTTACCTAGGTTTTCCAAGGAAACCGAGACAGGTACAACAAAGTGAGCCGTTCTCTCTCAGCTCCTGTGACGTCACACTACGTCCGTCTATACCCGGCAGGCTATGCGGGCTGGGTTGCCATGGTGATAGAGGTGTACGTCACAAACGGTTAGTCTGCTGCAGTTTTATAAGAAGCTTCTAGGGGGCTCTAAACATAACCACAGTAGTTTTGGAATTAAAAAAGAAGAGAATCATTAAACTTAAAGTATCCTATCGCTCAGTCCACTATCTAATAAGTTTTCTAATCTTAGCATGAAAGTTCATCTGTGCTGGTACAAGTCATAATATGAAATAAAGACTCAACTTTCTCTGCCAACACTATGATGACTTGTGACCTAATTACCGGTCTACATTAGAGCTCACAGACCTACCCTGAGCAGAGACAGGGGGCGACACAAGTTATCTGTCACAATTCATTGTAGTGTCGCCAGAGAAAGTTGCGTCTTTATGTTTACCGAAGGAAAACATGTTGTTTTTGCTCAGTTTCTTCCTCTTCTTCCTCTCCAAACAGTGACCTATGACCTGATTTCACAGCACGAAAACACATATTTAAGCCAACTTTACGAACTGCGTTAAGAGGTATTAAAGGCGGCGAAATATTTAAGCAGCCTTTACGACATCGGAAAGGCAACCGGAAAGTCCACGTTAAGGCAACCTTTACGTGCACGTTTAGGGGTCGTAAAGTGGGAAGTGGGAAGAAACGCCACCTTTACGATGAGTTTAAGCGTGCTTAAATATCACTTTTCGTGCCGTGTTTGTTGACATCTGTCACCATGGTGACTGGTGTTGGGTTACATAATGTTGCAATTTCATGGTCTGCTCTGCTCCTGTCACCATATACTAATCAGTAGTACTGTATGTGAATGTGTCTGAGTAAGAATTGACAGAGTAAACCACGTCCGAAGGTAAACATTATGCATTTGCTTTGCAAATGTTACTTCTCTAGTTATTTCATAGTTTTCTGATCTCTCCAGAGGAAAACACGTGGCTGAAGCAGGACCAGTACGTCCCACTGGGAGTTGGACTTGATCCCGACGATCCCGCTGCGGCTCCGAAGGTTCCCGACCTCGCCGTGAGCGCCTCATCGCGAAGGGACGACTTCTACCCGTGGCAGGCACGACTGAACAGCGGGAAGGGACAGCAGCAGGGGGCGTGCTGGTCTCCGGCTCTGCGCACTGACACAGAACATTGGCTGCAGGTACTTATTGCCTGGTCATCATAACTAGACCCAAGAGGTCACGGGTTCGAATCCTGCCCGATATCATCGATCTTGTGCCATTGGGAAAGGCACTTTACATGAATTTCCTTACTTCACTCAGGTGTGAAATTATTATATTAATGAGTACCTAGCTTCGGATAGGGACGTCCCTTGGATAGGACGTTAAATGGAGGTCCCGTGTTTGGGGAGAGCCACACCCCGCGCACGTTAAAGATCCCACCACACTTATCGAAAAGAGTAGGGGACCTTTCCGGTGTGAGTGGTTCAAACCTTACAGTCCTATGGCCGCACCTGGGGTCGTATTGAGGTAACCTGAGCCGCTCCAGACCCTTGCCCCAATACCTGTAAATTTTAGTATATTGTAAGCTTCTCACAATTCAGCCCTTGCAAAGAGAGAGTAACAGGCCCACCCAATACAACTAGTCTAGTGCTCAATTCTGGTAGGAATTTACCTACAAACATATTGCTGGCTCTTTACTTTGCATTGCCAGTGAAATGTGATTTTCTAACTTTTTTGTAAGTGCCATCAAACAAATTTGATACTTGACTCGACTTTCTAATACCATTACGATAACATCCGTGTCCATGATATCACCAGGGTCCATAATATCGCCACCTTGAGAAACAGACTTAAAGATATTTTTACTGCAACATACTTTTGGTATGCACTCCTGCACACCTTAAATGTACATACCTAGGATATGTTGCAGTAAAAATATCTTTCAGCACACTATTTCTCAAGGTGGCGATATTATGGACCCTGGTGATGTTATGCACACAGATGTTACGTCATTTCGTTTCAAAAAATGCGGCTTCCCTTTGATACCCCAGATTAAGCATGACAGAGTGTACGAAGTTGCCGGTGTCATCACCCAGGGGGCATACAACATGGACTACTTGGTCACGTCGTACAAGCTTGCGTTCTCTATAAATGGAGAGTGGACAATATACAGCGCCAAGGACAGCAACGAAATGGTCAGTTCAACTTCACATTGTAAAAACAGAATGTGAAAGGAATATCTGTACGCCCCCTTGAGTCTGTTTTTAGACTTTTCTAAGTTTTCATGTTTGCAAGACTTTCGGAGCCTCCTCACTACCAGTAGCCTGGTATCGAGTCTATCGTGGCTGGGGCGGGTTTTCTTCGGGGCTGCTGAAGCTCTTCCCCGCCCGCCTGAGCTTAAGGTTCCGCCGGGAATTTTTCACGGCGGGAGTTTGACTTCCGGAGTGGCATTTATTAGCAAGGGTCCTAACCGGGCGGTCTGTTGTACTCAGCGGGGGGAAAACTATCAGAGCCCCGAAGACAGCCTGCCCCAACCACGATAGGCTTACTCTCCAAGCAGAGGTTGTGGGGGAATGATTGTTACCTTTTTATGTATGGCCGTTTTTTTCTTTCTTTTTGTCGCTACCCCCACCACCCGTCGGTGGCCGGCGACCTTCTCTGGCTTATGGATACTGCCTGGCCAATTTGATACTGGCTTTTTGCCACGAAAGGGATCTGCTTGGAGATTAGATAGACTACTGGATACCAGGTTACACTGTCAGGTGTGCAATACAATATTCTTTGATTTCTTAAAGGTGTTCCAAGGGAACAGCGATAGCCACCGGTATGCTCGTAACATGTTGGACCACCCAACTTTTGCACTCTACACTCGCTTCTACCCACTCAGCTTCAAAAATCGGATTGCACTGAGGGTCGAGATTCTCGTCATAGATGGTAAGAAGTCTGACATGTATTTCATCAATCCATGTGTGTCTTCCTTGAATAAAATGATTTTCTTTCGGGGCTTTTGCATTCTACAGTAGCTTAACTGTATATGCAGGATAAGAATATACAGAAAGAAACAAAACGTCATTCTGAACTTGTGGGGTAGTGTGGCGTAGCGGCAGAGTGCGCGACTCGGAACCGAGAGGTCCCTGGTTCGAGTCCTAACATGCCACCGATCTTGTGCCCTTGGGAAAGGCACTTTACACGACTTCAGTTCGCTCAGGTGTAAATGAGTATTGTCCTGTCATGTATTTGTCCCCTGTGTTGGTGGCGGCATTAATATAAGTTGAAGAAACTTGAGTGTGCCGTCACCACGTCTGGTAATTACATGTTGGAACAAAAAAAAAAACTTAGACTTTTGTTTTACAATTCCATACGTACCAGACGATTGTAATTTATTTCACACCGAACCATTTGATTCCTTCTAGAGTTAATCTGTCCGCTCTCTCATAAACAGAACTGAAACCTTATTTCGTGTGATATTATCGGCACCACTTACCATAATTGATATTCTTCACAAGGCTCGGGGTGTGCATCGCACAGCGTCTTCTGTGACAGGACGTGTCGGCCAAGGGAAAGTCTCTGCCCGGCTTTTGACGGTTGTGTGCCTCGGGCCTATAACTACGGAGACAGGTAAATGCAGTCACTTTACAACGTTCCTTACATACATAAATGGCACATCATAACAGCTGTCCTAAATGATTTTTGCGATGAAGTTTGAATCATTAGGAAAGTGTAATAACATTAGTAGGTTACTAAAAACTTACTGTAAGGCCACACCAATTTAATTTCTTGGTTAACGGATTCGCCCGCTTCAATTTTTTTCTGATTTGCAAATAAAAATAAAAATTCAGAATCAACTGCAAAATGCTCATATTTCGCCCTGAACAGTTGAAAACAGTCCTTTTCATCCTTGTTGTTACAGTTATTCCATCTTTCAATGCAATGGTATCATTAAAAGTTCAAAATTAAAAGTTTAAATTTTGAACCAGCCTGGTGTGTTGACTTCATGGCTCCTATCGTAGCATTTTAGGCCATAATAGGATGCCTAGGCCTGTTTTTATTTTTTTTTTCGCCCACCCGCTCCATTCTTTTCCTAGACAAATCCTTAACCAAGAAATTAAATTGGTGTGGCCTAAGTTAGTGTTTGAGTTCTAACAGCTAAACAAGCAAACAATCCCCAAACCACCGGATCTTATAAAACGACTCACATTTTGTTGCAGACCTATTTGCGAAGACGTGCTACAGGAAGAGTGTGGGCTAGCGACCGTGAAGTTGGAGCATCTCAGATGTTTGGGTTTGTTGGTTCACCTTCTACATGTATATCACTACATTGACTACATGTATTTAAGGGCGTAACATGTATTTAAGGGCGTAATTTAACTTTTCTCCAACTCAAAATTTGACTCACCAGAAATTTTCGACTGAATCACTCAGTCTTCCTCAGCTATCTGACCCAAATGCTGTGGGCACGTGATTTTTCCCACGTGTGACGTCAGCAAAGGGTCAAAGGTTTTCTGAAGTTGATATCGCCCCCCGTCCCGGCTGAGCGATGGTTGAAGTGCCCTGATGTATATGGCCTCTTTTATGCCTCTCTTGAAGTAATCCTGTTCGGTATCCAACATTCTGACCCCCTCCAGATCCACTGTGTGTCCCGGTGATTCTATTAAGAAAAGTTTAAGTTTTTCATGATGTAATTTACCAACTCAGATGAACTTTCATGTTGACTACATGTATGTACAGAAACAATAGAGCGCGGATTGCATGCTTGGTGCCAGACAGAAATGTAATATAATCTCAATTGTTCATAACACTGAAGTCCTGTATGGAGATGACATTGCTACCTACATGTATGGAAGTTCATCAGACAGAAATGGTTATAACTTCTCTACCGTGGCCGACAAGTACACACCTGCGTCGTACACAGACGTCGAAGGTTTGTACTTGTTGGCCACCGTACTTCTTTGTCTTGTAGAAATTGACCTCCAGTTCAGTTCATGTGGGGACGATGAGTTGTACCACGACAGTCAGGCTTGTGACGGCACAGAAGACTGCTCAACGGGAGAGGACGAGACAAACTGTGACGGTAAGACTTCTCCAGGTTAGCCTGGTATCCAGTCTGATCGTGATTGGGGGTATTGGGGTGTTCAGGCAGGTTGTGTCTTCGGGGGCTCTAATAGCTTCCCCCGAACAGTGAAACAGGCCGTCCCGGTAGGAGTGTTACGCTAATAAGAGACAGTATGCTTGGGGATTTGGTTTCCCCCAACACGATAGTGGAGTGTTAATCAATCTCTCGTGAAATACACACCGGGAAACCTATGTGAGGCGGGCGGGACAGAGCTCTTTCGGCCCCGTCCACGATCAGACTGGATACTAGGCTATCTCCAGGTACATTCTAAAACCTCACAAGACCTTAAAAGAGATGTTACCTGGTTGCAGTAATAAGATTCTTCAAATGTCTCTTCTATAGACTGTTCAGGGGTTTATGCCAAAAGACATTGGTGTGACTTTATCTAAATCCACATGCAGTATATTAACACACAATCTGTTTTCCGTTCCCCTCATAGCTTTAATGTCTTAGCCTTCTCTAGATCTAAACCTTATCCTATTCAATATGATTCATGAACTTCATGCCCGTAGCCGAGGGGGGGGGGTGAAAGGTCTGGCTGAAAGGTCCTTTTTTTGGTCCACTTTTTATGTAAAGGTCCACTTTTTGGTCCACATCTTATGTAAAGGTCCACTTTTTGGTCCACATTTAATGTAAAGGTCCAAGATTTTTCTTGAAAACATGGACTGGAATCGTAGAAAAACTGCTCCCTTTGTCATTGAATAAAAATATATCTCTGATTTTTTCTTGGAAATCCTTAAAAAAATGCATGAAATGCCATTTTAGAATGTTCAATTTTCAAAATTTCCCTAGGAACCTCGCGCCTTCGGCGCTCGAGGTCCCCTCAAGCAGTAGGAAGAACCCCCCCCCCATTCAAAATCCTGGCTACAGGCATGAACTTAACGTGGTTGGGGCATAGAAGTTGGGACAGGCTGTCTTCGGGGCTCTAATAGTTCTCCCTGTAGCCCCAAAGAAACCAGCCCAACCATGATAAACTAGATACCAGGTTAATCGCTACACTGGACTTAATAGTGGTCTCCTACATTACAGTGAGCTCTACGTACCTTATCCTGCTTAATATGACCTATGATCCTTATTCTCAATTACTAGACGTAATGGGTATCAGTGGTCTGCTAATGACAAATGAGAGGCACACATATTTATATTTCACTCCACACCACGATATGGATGAAATATATTCGTTTTCCCTTGTTTGAACCTTGTGTTTACTGAAGAGTGTGCGATGGAATGCCTGACTGTTCTAAGTGACTCCTGCATCCCGAGTGGTTGGATCTGTGATGAACTACAGGACTGTTTAGATGGTAGAGACGAGCAGGGGTGTGTGCAAGGTAAGTATAATTTAGACAGGTGACAAAAGAGGGGCGGGGTAGATAGAAAATATAAAAAATGTGGGGTCATGTGGCGCAGTCGGTAGCACATTCGGCTCACACCCAATGCAAGAGGTCGCGGGTTCGAATCCTGCCCATGTCACCGATCTTGTGCCCTTGGGAAAGTCACTTTACACGACTTTCCTCAATAATTCACTCAGATGGAAATGAGAACCTAGCTTCGGTTAGGGACGTCCCTCGGATAGGACGTTAAATGGAGGCCCCGTGTTTGGGGAGAGCCACACCCCGCGCACGTTAAAGAACCCACCACACTTATCGAAAAGAGTAGAGGACCTTCCCGGTGTGAGTGGTCTTTGCAAGTTCATGCCCGAGGGCTAATTGCAAACAGACATTGACAAGAACAATGAGTACAAAATGTAGTGATATAAAACTATCTGCTAACATGTCCTACGATCTACTATCACTATTTAAAACTAGTAACGTTGGTATACAAGATAAAGAGTCGATATGCAATGTTGTGTACGTTGTGTACTTTCCGTGACAGGAGTACCCAAACACTGCTTTTTCACCTGCGGTGACAACGTCACCTGTCTGCCGACAAGTCAGCTGGGGGACGGGCGTCAGGACTGTGCTGGTGGCGAGGATGAAAGACCCAGTGACAGTAAGGCCCCATTCCACAGTTATTCCATCTTCCAATGGCAATGCAATGGTATCATTAAAAGTTCAAAATTCATTGTTTAAATTTTGAGCCAGCCTGGTGTGTTGACTTCATGGCTCCTATCGTACCATTTTGGGCCATAATAGTATGCCTAGGCCTGTTTTTATTTTTTTTATTTTTTCGCCCGCCCGCTCCATTATTTTTCTAAAAAAATCCGTTAACCAAGAAATCAAATTGGTGTGGCCTTAGCTGTGCGTATGTATATTGAAATGACTTAATTGTCTCTACAGTTGAAGAGGTCATGAGACACGTGTGGGGGTCCTGCAGGTACAACTGCAGGTCTGTCTACGGTAACGCGTCATGCGTTCCTGACGCGTTCGTCTGTGACGGTGACGCGGACTGTTCGGAGGGAGAGGACGAGCAGGGCTGTGAGGATAAAGGTATAACAGTTGGGGGTTTATAGGCGCTACCAACTGATCCGGCAAACGGGTCTAGACCTTTTCGGCTGAGCGGTTAGAGTGTCTGACTGGGGCTTGGGAGGTTGTGGGTTCGAACCCCGGCCCGGGACCAGTGGGGTTTTTACTTGCTCCTCCTGTTTCTTACAGTGGTTCCCACACCGGCCCTGGGAGTTCTGGCAAAGAGTGACGCTCCAGGGATGTCGAATTCGGAAGATTCGAGGACGAATCTTGAAAAGAAAAGGGGGAGTAGTGTAACAGTGGGGGTTTATAGG